ATTATCTTCATATCACAAATGAGGAAACTGAAGCTCACAGGACAAAGTAAACTGACCAAGGTTAGCGAGTGTCTCAGTAAATTTTCAGAACCAAGATCTCAGTCTAATAGTCCTTTTTTTTCTCCCTTTTACAATGTTCTTTTACATAGTTGTGATCACATAAATATATAAATTTAAAAAATTTTTTTTATTCATTTAGAGGGAGAGGAAGAGAAAGATAGAAACATTGATGAGAGAGAACATCGATTGGCTGCCTTCTGCACGCCCCCCACTGGGGATCAGGCCCACAACCTGGACATGTGCCCTGACTGGGAATCGAACTGGCGACCTCTTGGTGTATGGGTCAACACTCAACCACTGAACCACACTGGCCGGGCATAAATATATAAATTTCTGTTCTACCTTGTTAACATTACAGCATGAACATTTTTCTGTATCATTACAAATGCTTCTCGCCCTGGCCGGTTTGACTCAGCGGTTAGAGCGTCGGCCTGCGGTCCAGAGAGACCCAGGTTCAGTTCCTGCTAAGGGCACATACCTCAGTTGCGGTTTGTCCCCAGCCCTGGTTGGTGGTGCAGGTGGCAGCCACTCGATGTGTCCCTTTCACGTCGATGTTTCTCTCCCCCCCCCCCCCCACTCTATCTGAACAAAAAATGGAAAAATGTCCTCGGGTGAGGATAAAAAAAAAAAAATGCTTCTTACACAATATTTTTATTGTTAACTGCATAAAACTGTATCATCATTTCTAGTTTTTATAATATTATGTAACATTATATAATATTGTAAATAATGTAGTGAATATGTTTGTGAATCAATTTACTCTCCTATCAGACTTGAATACTCTCAAGTCTTTGGTAGTAAAGAATTACATATCATTATTATTTGTATTACATAATTAGTAAAGTTGAACATATTTCAAGTGTTTGTTTGCCATCTATATGTCTTCTCTTATGAAGTGGCCATTCAGTTCCTTTGCTTTTTTATCATTTTGGGATTCAGCTAAGTTTATCAATCTGGATGAGCCCATTATACATAACGGCAGTTAATTTTTTGCTGTAATAATTATTGGGACAATTTGTTACTTTTTCTGCCCCTTGACAGAAAAACAAACTTAGAATCCAAGTCAGTGTGTTGGTTTGACTGTTGTCACTTGAGAGCCATAGTATGACCAAGGCCTCAGGAGTAAAAGTGATCTCTGCTCCAAGGGGAAACAAATTCTCAGTTAAGGAAACAATAAAAATATTCTCATTTGGTTAATTCGAGGTAGCTTTTTTAATCCAGCATAAGCACCTCTAATTTTATTTATGCTAATAAAGAAGAAAAAAGTGGTGACTACAATAAATGCAAACACTGTATCACTGCATTCTCAATTATGTTTTCATCAGGTTCATGACAAAAGTAGTGAAAATTTCCCAAGGCTTTGGCTGAGAAACAATTATAATTCTGGCAAACTGTTGCAGTGAAATGCCCCCTCTGGGTATTGTTACCTGGCTGTGCTGGATAAGAGGGCCTCAGGATTTTCAGGCTCAGAGCACCAGGTCAACTAGAGAAATGGGGGTGAACCAGAGAACTTTTCCAAGCATAGATTTGCATTCCTGACCCTGTCCTGAATATGAACAATTCCTTGCCTATCACAGCCAGATCAAGAAACACTTGAGACAGGCTGAGTGAACAGGGAGACGGTTTTCTGTGACTTCTTGCTATTGACACCTTACTTACGTAAGATGGCTAAAGGGGGTCTGTTTCTTCTTGATCTTTTGAGTTCAAGGATCAAAATGAAGTTTAAAAATTGCCATGGTACCTTGTGTCTCTTTTCATAGAGGAAGGTTTATAGCTCCAATCTCCAACTCCCAAGCATATTTTTTACTTTTTTCTTTTCTTTCTTTCTTTTTTTTTTTTTATCCTCACCCAAGGACATTTTCCCATATTTTGTTGAGATAGAGTGGGAGGGAGAGAGAGAGAGAGAGAGAGAAACATCGACGTGAAAGGGACACATTGAGTGGTTGCCACCCACACGACCCAACCAGGGCCGGGGACAAACTGCAACCGAGGTACGTGCCCCTAGCAGAAACCAAACCTGGGTCTCTCCATATCGCAGGCCAATGCTCTAACCGCTGAGCCAAACCGGCCAGGGCGTACTTTCCTCTTTTATACTAAAATATCTATTATATATAAACTGTCTGATATACAAATATCGATCACATATTTATTTACAACTTCTATTTTGCCATTGGCCTAATACTTCTTGATATCAAAGCTCATGCTTTCCTGTATTACTTATACCATGCAGCCATATTTTGTAGGCTGTAGCAAGTTACTGAGAGTTTTAAAGTCATGAGTGACATTCATAGCCATGTGATATGCCCTGCATGAACTTCAGTGAGGAATCTCAAGCTAGGGAACCAGTCACCTTTCTGTCATACTTATCAACAATGAGATGGCTCTGACCATTTCTTCCTGAAACTCTCTCCCCAAACCAGGCTTTCCCTAGACTTCCAAAGTTTGCCCCACAGGGTAGCATATATTATCTGTAGAGAGGAATGAAACACTCCACTTCTACATTTTTGTCTTGGCAGGCCTCCCTTTTCTCTGGCAGAAAATGAATTATTACTAGCACCTGCCTTAAGTACTAATGCCAGCACTAAGTAATACCAGCAGTAGCATCTATTAGAGTTTAAGGGTGAGGAGAGCAGTTTCCAAGAAACCTTGATTTTTTTCAGATTGTTCACTGATGACCTCCAGTGTCTAGGAGAAACGAGGTCAAATATACTTAGGCAGTTAAAGAGAAAGAAAGCCTGTCTAATGGTAAAACCACTTTCAGCCACAATTAAAAGTACACCCCAAAAGAAACACTGAATTTTCTTCCTTGAAAAGTAACCCTGTATTTCGGAGAGGAATTAGGCAAAATCAGACATGTGGAGAGAGCCTGAAGAGGAGATGACCTCTCTTCCACATGCCAAGCATTTCTGAGCCATGACAAGACAAGCTGTCCATATTGGAAAACATCTAGTCTCATTCAAAACTTCTGCACTGGCCCTGGTCAGGTAGCTCAGTTGGTTAGAGCACTGTCCTGATATGCCAAGGTTTTGGGTTTCATCACCGGTGAAGGCACCTACAAGAATTATCCAATGGATGCATAAATAAGTGGAACAACAAATTAATGTTTTGTTCTCTCTCTCTTCTCTCTCTCCTCTCTCTCTCTCCCTCTCCCCCTCCCCCTCTCCCTCTCCCTCTCTCTCTTTCCTCCAGATCAATCAATACATAAAAATAAAATAAGTCCAGCCTGGCCGGTGTGGCTCAGTGGATTGAGCATCGTCCCATGGACTGAGAGGTCCCAGTTGGATTTCTGGTCAGGGCACATGCCTGGTTGTAGGCCATATCCCCAGCGAGGGCCATGCAGGAGGCAGCTGGCCGATCAATGTTCTCTCATCAATGTTTCTATCTCTGTCTCTGTCTCTCCCCCCCCCCCCGCAAATCAATAAAGAAAAAATAAATAAATAAATAAAACCTTCCATTAAAAAAAATACAAATAAAAATAAAATAAAATAAAACTTCTGCACTAGACAGAGGGCCAGGACTACAATGGAGGTACCTGGTGACTGATCAGAGAGTTGGCCTGACCTTGAGACCAGTGGCCAACAAGGAGCTTCTTAATCCTCCTCCCAAGTAATTCCGGGTGCCTGTCTTCCTGAGAAATCCATTGTTTGCAAAGGAGTTCTTATTTTCTCCTCTTCCCAGAGGAAGAATCCTGGGCTAGCGTTTGAGGAGGCATAGCTATGGAAGGGTGATGGGAGAATGCAGAGCCTGCCTGGTTCTCAGCTTACTCTCATGCTAAGGCTTCCACAGACCTAGAGAAGACAGGGAGGGCATGAGGGACAGGTCAGTGAGGTAAGAGCATCTCAAGAACCCAGAGAATACGAGTTTGGACTCTAGCATCACACTTCTGGGCTCAGCTCCTAGCTCCACCACTTTCTGGCTTCTGTGACCACAGAGAGTTATTTAATCTCTCCATATCTGACTTTTCTCATCTTTAAAGACAATATGGACTACCCACCTCATATGGATGGTCACAGTAAGGATTAAATAAAATTATTTTTGTGAATTGGCTTGCAGTAATAATTTCATACCTATCAGCTATTCTTGTTTCATACAGCCCTTTCTCCTGCTTTGGGTGAAAGCCCATGTCAGTGCTTCCTGCATTTTTTCCATGAAGGAAATTTCAAAATTACAACCTGATCCTCTGAAGAATCTCCAAAACATGCCGCGCACGGTCTGGAGGAGTGGGCAGAGGGGTGGGATGGCTCGCCGGTGCCTGGCGTGACCGACTCTGCTGGGAGTGCCTACTGGCTGAGCATCATGCGCGCGTGCAGGTCCACACACATGTGGATGGGCGTGCGTACGCTCTACCGCCCACCCGAAGACTCGGCGAGTTCAGCGATCTCTGGTTACACAGAGCTGGTGGGCGGGGCAGAGCCATTGTTCCCCAGCGGACCGAGTCCCCAGCGCTCGCTAGGGAGGGCGGCGGGCTCCCCGGCCTCATGCCAACCCGACCCCAGGTTAAACGCCACGTCTTCCTTCCCCACACGTCTCTGGGAACAGTGGGGAAAGCAGGATGGAGTTGTGCGTAGTGCTCGTCCCCGTGGCCTCTCTACTGTTTTCTGTTAAACTTCCCCAGTGCCCATCCATTTGCAAAGGGCTTGGGGGCCAATCCTGGGCTGGTACCCACCCCCTATTCCCGGACCAGGTCCTCTTGGTCTTCCGGAGAGAAAGCTCCCTAGAGCCTCTGAGACCGCGGGGTGCCGGACAGAGGCCCAGCGGCCGGTGGAAGGGAAGCCGAGGAGAAAGGGATGGGGAGGGGGAGCGAGGAGCTCGCGGCAGAGGGAACAGCAGATTGCGCCGAGCCAATGGCAACGGCAGGACGAGGTGGCACCAAATTCCCTTCGGCCAATGACGCTCCAGAGTCTACAGAAGCCCATTAGCATTTCCCCAGGGGCAGGAGCTGCGGCTGCTGAGCCGCGGTATGTCTGCAGCATCCAGGTTTTGCGTGTCGGGCCCCTAGCACGCCTCGTTGCTGTCTCCTCCCCTCTCCGCCCATGCGGGGGTCCCACGGCGGCGAACCAACTCTGCGCACTTTGCCCCTGTTGGCAGCGAATAAAAGAAGTCTGAGGAAATACTGGACACGGTCATCCACTGCCAGCTCTAGCCTTTAAATACCCAGGCTTGGGAGATCTCCGCACACTGGTCACAGATCCAGCGCGCAAGGCGGTAGAGGATTCCCAGCGCAACTCCGTCCAACGCCGCACAAACTTGGACCCCGCCACCGAAATCTCGCCGGAGTCCCAGCTGTCCCGAACTTCGATCCGCAGTCTCAGCCCTGGGAAAGTGATCCCAGCATCAGAGAGCCCAGATGCCGGCCCACTTGCTGCAAGAGGAGGTGAGTTTTCCCAGCATTGGCTTCCAGACCGCGGGGTAGCCGGCGCTGGCTGGGCTTCTAGGTGACCCATTGATGGAGAAGTTGAGATCTCCGCGGAGGACCGAGCCATCATTTGCGAGTTGTACTGCCTTCGTTTGTTGGGAATGTGGATTGTAATTTGGGGACTTGGTTTCTGAACTTTCTTTTCTTGAGCTTAAAAGAAAAACCGGATCGTGCCGACACCCTTATGTATGTATGCCTAAGGGTGTTTCTTTGTGTGTTCGAAGGGGTGAAAGTGTTTTTACTCCTTTCTATTGCCCCTTCACCTTGAGGTTTCAGCCCCTCTCTCCAATCTATCTGCACAGTTCCTGGGGGCTTCCTTTTCTTCCATCCGCCTTCAGTTAACCTGGGTATTGGCGCAGGGTCTCTGCCAGTACTTCACCCTTCCCCCAGCTTGATGAGAGAGTTAAATGGTCCCTGCTACCTCCACGTGTAATCTCCTCTCTCCTGACTCTCCACTTCCTCTCCCTTCCAGATCTCTAGCTCCTACACAACCACCACCACCATCACAGAGCCTCCCTCCAAGATCCTGCAGAATGGAGAAGGCAAGTTGGAGAATCTCCTACACGCGGATGAAGACATCCGCCCTGAAATGAAAGATGACATCTATGACCCAAGCTATAAGGATAAGGAGGGCCCGAGGCCCAAGTTTGAGTATGTCTGGAGGAACATCATCCTTATGTCTCTGCTACACTTGGGAGCCCTGTATGGGATCATATTAATCCCCACATGCAAGCTCTACACCTGGATCTGGGGTAAGAGTTTTTCTTGTCCTCCTGACCCAATACCCCAGGTTCTCTCCACTCTTTAATAAGGTAGTTGCTTACATGGAACAGAGACATCAGCCCTCCCCTCCCCCCCGCCCAGGTTTCCCAGTGATTTCCAAGAGGCTGAGTGGTCTGGGAACAGAGATTAAGGGGAGTGAGAGGCAGGGGTGGCAATGCTGGGGGTCTTTTCATAAGGGTGTTGGGGAAGGAGCCTGAGACTATGTGCTGCAGGCTTTGAAGTAAATAGACCTGTGCCAGAGAGTCAGCTTCCCCTGAAAGAGTTTTTCTGTTTCAAGCCATTTGCTTGATTGCTTGTCCCAGCCCTGTCATCCACAAAATAATCAAGGACCCTACCTGGGAGGCATGGGAACATGGGATAAGACCAGTGGTATCAGGGGGTATATGCTGAGTGCAGTCATGGGACAGCAAGAGAAACTGTGCAGGAAGAGAGTAGGAGAAGGAGGAACAGAGAGGTAGTTACCCACACAGTTATTTGCCCTGACCCTTGGCCCAACAGCCTCCTTTGTTAGAAAGAAAGAAAGATAAAGGCTCCTATAGGACCCAAGTTAAACAGATGTGGTGTTCTGTGATTCCCTGTAGGTCTCCAGGGAACTGTATGCACGGCTCAGCGAAATGTCCTTTGAAATACAGCTGAGGATATGTTTCGTGTCCCACTCCTAGGCTGCTCCAGCCCGTCTCCTGATGCCATGCAGTCTCTCCTTGCTAAGACAGCTAGACCAGGCCAGAAAAGAGCCCTAAGCGGCCCCAGCTTTGAGGCTGCTGCAGTGAGGGAGACAGTTCCCAATTCTGTCCCTGACCTGCCCTTAGCTCAGCTTTTTCAGGGATCCATGGGTATGAGCTGATAGCAAGCCCCCCCCCCTCCCCCAAACACATGCGCTTTGCAGGCATTTTCACCTCGGCCACCATAAGCCTGAGCTGGGGAGGGGAGAGCAGGGAACTCCAAAGACCCACCCTCTCTGATGATGGTGAGTTGGATCTCTCCAGGAACCGATGTTAGGGTTTCCAGAGTAGTCTCAGGTGTGTGGTGCTTGCTGAGAGCTGCACTCTTGGAGGGTAGTTATGTAGAAGGGCTAGTAGACCAAGTTTTAGCTGATTCTCCTAGGACCTCTTTCATCTAAAGGTGGTGGGACCTGGTCCCTAGAGCTTTGTATTGAGAAATCTCAGTGCCTCAGACAGTGAAACACAATTGGGTAGGGATCTCAACCTTTCCAGGTACAAACTGGGACAAGAATACTTTTTTAGGATCAGGAAGATAGTGCTCCTTAGGTGACAGATGTGTCATTGCTGGGGCTGGCCAGGCACAGAAAATCAGTTCTTCTGCAGACCAGGAAGGGCTCTTGTATTTGTGAGCAGAGGGGCACATCTGCTCTCTAGCCCCTCTGAGAACCCAGCTGAACTGCAGTTGCAGCATGAGGATTCCCCAGGGGAACTGGATTCCTCTCTCCACCCCTCCACTCCCAAAGAGGAATCTTCACAAGTAGTTTTGTTGCCTGTAGGCCCCGTCCAGCCTCAGCACTCCCTGTAGTTCTGGTTAAGTCCAGAGTTTAGCCAGCTTGCTTCTGCTTGCTCCCTACCTTCGGCTGCTGGTGCAGGGGGCATAGTGCAATCCCTAAACCAAGAATGTGCCCACTTCCTTTTTGTGCCCTGCCCATGGGTGTGCACTAGGCCTTTGGAAAGAGAAATGTGGCACACAGAAACTGGATGGTGATCTTCTCTGTACTCCTTTCCCTTGGCCCTGTGGTGGATGCTGACTGAATGACCATTCTGATATGAGAATAGCAAAACTCCTCTGTTTTAAGGAATAAGAAAGAGACAGAGACTGTCAGGGGTCCCACTTTCAGAGTTTAGGAGCTTGGCCTCATTTTTTTTTTTTTTTTTTTAATCACCTCCAAGGACAGTGTTAAATTAGCAACTGGTTGTGATTACAGCATTTCTTGAGACTGAGCAATTTAGAGAGCCTCCCAGAGGGGCCCTTAGGAGCAGCTGAAAGGTATCTCTGGCAACATTGAGGGCTAAGGGGCAAAACGTCTCATCTCTTAGGACAAAAGCTATGAGATTTTGCTTAAATGCCAATTTGGACATTAGTAGAGAATGAGCCTCACTCTAGTTGATAGGCTTAAAGGTGTTGATAGAAAAGGCACTAGAACATCTGGGTTCTTTTCCCAATTCCCCTGTTAATACTAGGATCTTATGTGCTTTCTGAGTTAACTCGCCAGGGTCATCTGTGGCATGAAACCACCCCGGAAGCTTCCTTGCTTCTAAGCCAAGTGTTTCTGTTTTTGTGCCCAAAGCCATTTTTCTTCCTTGATGATTTGTGTGGTTGTGGCTCAACTGTCATTTTTCCAGGTGCAGATGCAAGCAGATTTTTGCCATATGGCTTGAGGTCAGCAAACCACCTGGGGCCCTAATCTCAGCGTAGAGGGGTTGGAGACAGAACTTTCACTGGGATAGACGCTGGCTCCATGGCTGTCCTTGGGATCCTGTAGGACTAGGATAAGGTGGAGGTAGATAGAGCTGGGAAGAGGAGGGGGCTGTTTAGGAAACTGCTATCTATGGCTGGAGAAGAACACAGGACAATTTGTTACAATGTGTGGCGTCTCCAACTGCAACTAAATTCTGTGGCCACTGAGGATCCATTGTTTCTAGCTGTTGCCCTAGGAATGAAACATTGTCAGCAGTCATCGGCTCTACCAAGGCCTCACTCAGGCCCTGCCTCCTGGAGCCACTGAACAGAGGAAGATAGGTACACCAGCAACCCACTTCCCAGTTAGAGGTTATAGCTGGCACCTCCTGAGCTAGCAGGCCTCCAGGAAGGTGAGGGGGGACAGTGTTGGGGTGTTCCACCCACAGCCTTGAGCAAATTTCATCATTGTCTAAAATTAGCCTTGCCAAAGAGAGTATGGGCTAACAGAGGGAGGTGGCAAAGGAGAGGCACAGGAACTATGTGCACATCCTGAGGAGCTGGATGGTAGAGCTGAAACATACACACTGTTAACAGAAATCCTAGTTTCAAACCGTGGTTCCATTCTTTACTGGCCTATGACCACAGATAAACGAGACCTATCCGAGCATCTTCTTCAACTGCAAAGTGAGGATCTTAAAGCCCATTCAAGGAATCCGGAGAATCAGAATATCAAATTCTTGGCTAGGCTTAAGACACTGTGCAGATATGACTTATGTGCAGGGCAGATTGTCCCCTAATATGGAGACAAATATTGAAATGTTTTTGTATCAGTTGGTAAATAGCCAGAGTTCCGAGCTCCCAAGTGTCCTCTAGAACACAGAGCCCTTTGAATTAGCGAGTGCCCAGATCATACCGGCTGTTAAATATTTTAAGACTACCCTTGCTTATGAGTCCTAAGCTCTGTAGGAGTAGTCTGTAGTCCTTAAAATTTGGGGGGAAGCTGAGCTGAAGGTAAAAGGAGACGGGACATAGGATAATATTACTTATGACTAAGCGTGATCAGTGGCTGGGCAGTAAGCTCTCTCTTCTCTGTCCTGCCTTTCTAAAGCTCCCGGGACTCCTTAGCTCCTTCCAGTTCCTATGTGGAGAGGATGGGAGATGATGGTATTTTTCAAGTAATAAAATAGGAGAGATCTAAGAGATCAAGGTGTCTCTGTACTTCAGGGAAAAGCAAATCCCCACCCGAAGCCTCTGAGGACATAGCAGACACACAGAGAACCACATGTGAATGATCTTCCAGATTATTGACCTCTCACTGTTTCTGCCTGGCAGCATTTCTCTACTACATGGTCAGCGCCCTGGGCATAACAGCAGGAGCCCATCGCCTGTGGAGTCACCGGAGTTACAAGGCTCGGCTGCCCCTGCGGGTCTTCCTGATCATTGCCAACACCATGGCATTCCAGGTAGGAAACCGGCTCTGCTCAGCTCTCTCCTGTGCTCTGTCAATGATCAGGGGCTGAATGGAGACCAGCACCTGGAGGGGGGCAACACCTGGACACCATTTCACTTTCCTCTCTCCTTGTGGTCACCTGTGCAGACCCAGTCTTTAAGTCCATAAAGAATAAGCACACTTCTAAGTCACTAGAAAAGGAAAACAGGAGATGAATAGGAAATAGTCTAGTTATCCTAAGGTTCCTCTGTTATCACATAGTCTAGCTGTTGGGGTTCTTCATCCTCAGGGGCTACAATGCATAAGCCTTAGTTTATGATGCTGGGCAGACATTGGACAACAGACTCACCATTTTAGGTGAATCTCTTATGACTCCACCTTAATGGGATTGCAGTGGATGTTTCATAGACACAGGAGTTCTGTTGTTTTCAGGTGATGAGAGCAAATACTTATAGTGCTGAGTGTGTGCCTGGTATTCTAAGTACCTGATGTAGATTACCTCATAAAATTCTCTTAGGTGGTAGGTTCTATTCTTATTCCAATTTTTTATGAAAAATTTATGTCACTGAGAGGTTAGGGAGGCCAACATATGGTCCTAGCTTGGGCTGCCAAGCTGGCTAAGTCAAATATGGAGGTTTGATGAGGCAGAAAGTTTATAGCAGAGATAGAATGAAGGAAATTGGGAACAGGGAACTCGTAACTATTAAGTGGTAGCAATGGCCAAAGGATAGCATGTGATGTGGGGCTTAGATTGGAGCAGAGGGGAAAAAAAGAGGCAACCAAATTTGATGTAGGTACTTACCAAAGTTACATAATCATCTGTGCAATAGTACTTTATACCTTGAAGGCTTCTGGTATTGGGGCAAAGGTAAGGAAGACATGTTTATACATTCTTTAAGGAATAAAGAGTCCCCGAGGAGCCCAGCGGTCATTTGGGAATGTGGCCAAGCTTGTGATTTATATGCCTGGCCTTGCTGAGCTGTGAGCTGTCTCTTGCCAAGGCATCAGAGTGCAGCTCTCTGCAGTCTCACCCACTAACCAGGACCCTAGGGCGCAAGGCTGCCTGTCTTGTTCTCCCTGCCCAGGGATTAGGTATCCCGTGATGCCCTTTCCCAACATTTCTTGCTTGAAGCATTACAATGTTCTCTGCTAATGAAGCTCTCTGGGCTCCATGATCTACCTCCATGCTGCCCACTGTTTAACCTTCATGAAGCAGTCAGTTCTATTCATGTGGTCCTGGGACTTTAAGTTGCTTTTCCACTTAAGCTTCAGTGGCAAATTGGGAAAAAAGAAGAGGAAACTCCATGACCCTCCTTTGTAGCCCCAGCTCCTGGGTATTTTATGACATTGGGCTGAAAGCCATGGGCTCTTAAAGATGTCTATCCATTGGGATTGCACCAAGAGGGTGTCTCTCCTCAGGCCTACATTCTTCTTCTCTGTCTCTCCAGAATGATGCTTATGAATGGGCCCGAGATCACCGTGTTCACCACAAGTTTTCAGAATCAGATGCTGATCCCCACAATGCCCGACGTGGCTTTTTCTTCTCTCACGTGGGTTGGCTGCTTGTGCGCAAACACCCAGCTGTCAAAGAGAAGGGTAGTTTGCTAGACTTGTCTGACCTAAAAGCCGAGAAGCTGGTGATGTTCCAGAGGAGGTGAGTGGGAGTGGCAATGGAGCTGGGCACCTGGCATTTGGGGACTCCCCTTTTTCTCTTAAGACTTATAAACATTAACTGAGAAATTCACTGGGCTTGTATATTCAAAATCATAATTTAAAACCCCAATGTTTAACAGCCCCCAACTCCACAGCCATAGACTATTGTTCTTTCTGAGCTATCCTAATTAAATGAATTAAATTCAACAAATGCTTATTGACCTAGGAAGTCATGGATACAAAGATGATTGTGTCATAGTCCTTACCTCAAGGAGTTTGTAGCCTATTGGTGAGTGAAAGGATAAGCTAAGTGTCTGAATAACTATGATACAAGGCAAAATGTTTTCTGTACCAGGAAGAGGCACAAAGGAGAGAGAGACTGCATAGTGGGGAATATCTGGGAAGGGTTGATGAAGAAAATAGCTTTGAAATCCACTGATGGGTAGAGAATTTCACAGGTGTCACAGGAGAGGGAGAAACAGTACAAAAAGAACAGAATGAGCTAAAGCCTCAAGTATGTTCCAGCAACAGAGTCCTTTTGCTTGAAGTATAGGGTGTGGTAGAATTCAGACTAGACAGGGAGACTGGTGCCATTCTTATAGAGTCTTAAAAGCAGACTTAGGTTTTCATTTGATAGGCAATAGGAAACCATTGAAAGTTTTTTTGAGTGGGAATGTGTCATGGTCAGAGTTGTGCTTCAGAGAGATCACTTTCATGACAGGTGATGAAACCGTTGAGCCAGAGAGGTGAGAAGCAGGAGATAGCAAGGACCCATGCCAAGGACGCAGAGGGAAGACTGGAAAGGAGTTGAATGCAGGTTACCAATGATAATACGAGCATCAGGCTTGACTGCTGAAGAGACGCAGGAAATAAGTCAATGGCCTGGTCTACACTTGAGAGATTGAATAATGGGACAGGGCCTGAGGATCAGAGACCAGCAGGCATTGAAGACCCTGAGGGAAAATGAGAGGAAGGGTTAGAGGATGACTGGCAGGAATGGAGGCAAGACAGTAAACGTGGACTCTGCAAAGAGTGCTGACCGGAAAGAGGGAGGAGCCCACAGGCAGAATGGAAAAATAGCCTGGGAAGGAGAACTCGGTGCATTCATTTGTAATCTGGACCTCACCTGTTTTACCCACCTCGAATTATGCTGTATTAAAAAAAAAAAAAAAGAGAGCAATAAATTTTGAATCAGACCAGCATTTTAACCCTTGCTCCACTGGTTCCTCATGGTGCAATTTTAGAAAAGTCATTTAACCCCTCATTACCTCATCTAAAAAGTGAGATAATAACCCCATGTTCTCACAAGATTCCCCACCTCATCCCTCTTGCTCTGTTGACTGCCACACCTTCCTCACAATGTAGGAGAGAGTTCAACCCATCAATAATGGAAATCAGGCAAGTCTAAGTCCTCTCTCCACTGACTCAGTGTCTGGTCTCTCCGTGTAGGTATTACAAGCCCGCTGTCCTGATGATGTGCTTCATCCTGCCCACAATTGTGCCCTGGTATTTCTGGGGTGAAACTTTTCGACACAGCTTATATGTTGCCACTTTCTTGCGGTACGCCGTTGTGCTCAATGCCACCTGGCTGGTGAATAGTGCTGCCCACCTCTACGGATATCGCCCTTATGACAAGAACATTAACCCCCGAGAGAATATCCTGGTGTCCATGGGAGCTGTGGGTAAGTCAGTGGTCCACGGCAAGACCACATCTAGTGGTCTGCTGTTTAGGGTATTAGGCCAGGAACCAGAAAAACCAGATTAACTTGTTTTATGACCTCTTTCTATCTGTTTTTCACTCTAAAACTAAGGGGTAATAGAAAACTCTTGAGAGCCAGACAGCAAGGGTAAAAAATGACAATGCTTTTGATTCCGGGTTCTAAAACCATCCCCAAATGCTATGTAGATGAGCCCCTTTGGGTTTTCCATTTCGCAGTCACTTCTGGGCTGGACTGCAGTCTTGCTTGGGGCCGGTAATGTATAAATAGAACAATAGGGTCCTCTGGGTGGCCAGTAGGCCTAGTGGTTTATATTTAAATATACCATATAAAATGTAGAATTCATAGTTGTAAATTAATTCAATAAGTTTCTCTTTTATCTTTTTGCTGTATTCAGATAGGCCACACTTGAAGTATATGCCATTCTTACTGCCTGGTCATGCCAGTCAGAAGGACATCAAAGCAACTGTTGGTGGCCCTTTCCCACCACCTACCATTCTTGTCTCCTGTCCTTGATTTTTCTCTCTTCTGCTTTATTCTGTGCTAAGAACACCCCCTCAGCCAGTATGGCTTAGGGAACTCCTGATGAAGCAGGTAGCCTGATCACAACTGCCTGCTGGCTGATCTAATACTGGCTATTCATGAGTTATTTCTCTCTATAATTTGAGTCCTAATAGCCAGAGTCTAGGACAACAGGGTTCTACTGTCTCCATTTGTTGTTTTTTTTTCTGTCACTGTTTTCAACTAAATAGAAACTTTTACTAAGGCCTGAAATTAGCTTTCCTTTCAAGCAAACCCAATGGCCTCTTCTTCCTCACCAGCGATCAGTACTATTGGTCATCCAGTATATCTAGGCAAGCTCACTGTTCCACATGTGTGTGCGTGTCGTGCTAACAGTCACCTTTTTCTCTTTAAAATCTTCCTTTATAGACTCATCCCTGACCATCTTTACTATTACTATCTGCGCTCAAAGCGTGTTTTTTTCCTATCTCTTTTTATCTTTCATGCCTCTCCCCTCTCCTTTCAGGCACCTTCTACCATGTTCTTACTCTGAGCCATTTTTGAAGTAAATCGCCTAGGCCATATAAGTCTGAGATTGTCATAGAAATGGAAGTTTCTGGAATGAGATTTGTCCTGTATTGCAAATGGATCTAGAGTGAGCTTTCCCAGTTGCAGCCTCTTTTTGACCATCAATTCAAAGTGGCTGCCTTGTGCCCAGACACACACGCACACATACACACACCAAAGTAGCCCCCAATATCTTACTTTGTCTCAGTTATTTATTTGTCCATACCTGCTTCTTTCCTCCCTATCACCTCACCCTTTGTTCTCCTCTAGCTTGCTTCCTGCCTTTCTAATCTTGTCTTCTTGAATTACCTCCCCCGCAGTCACATGCTCATCTCTCTGCCAAAGCTGACCTCCCTTGAGCCTTTCTTGGGCTATATCTTGCTATCCTGGTTGCAAAGTCTTGTCCTTCTACCCACTGACCCCGCCTTCCCTTTTCTCCCCCTTGGCTGTGTGTGTTTCTGATTCAGTTTTAAATCTGATAAGTATAGGCCTGGTTAGTGCTTTATACAGAGTCATTTATGGAAATTAGCAATCCTCTGTCAGTGCCTTTACCCTTGGGATCATTCTACCCTGCTACTCAGTTCACACTGTTGAAAATCCAGTGCACAGAGAGAAGGCACACCTTGAGATGCCTTGGATGATGCCATTTACTTTTCAAGACTTTCTTTACTTGCTTGTTATTAATATCATTACCATTCTACTGAGGTTCTTTTATCTTCAAAGGGTTCAATATGCTCTTTTACTAGCTATTTTTTACCCGGCTTTACCCCAGCCTCATAAGGGTCAGTATTGTTATTGTTGAATGCAGTTCAGGAAGAGGGTTCTGCCAAAGGTTGAAGAACTCTCTGTGGAGTTTCCAAAGTTTTATCCATTACAGAAATTATCGTGAATCCAGAATTTTGTTTTTCCTCCATCTAGCAATATGAACTGCTCATCTCAGAATCTCAGAAGTTAGAGGGAGTATCTAAGCATTTTGGTACTGACTCCCTCAGAGAACTTCTGTTTTATCTGCCTTGCCACCACACCAGGGTCAAAGCTCAAAGAATTCAAAGCCAGAGAGTCTACTGAACCAGTAGTGGCTGAGGTCACTGCAGCCCCTGGGCTGGGCCTCCTAACTTCTGACTTTTGGCTGTTGCTGCCCAATTCTGTTGGTCTCTCATATGCTTGGAGGAAGTCCCAGTGCAGGTGTACTCCTGTGCTCACCTTTGTAAGAAACACAGCAAAAGTTCTTCATTCTGGACTCTCCTCTCCCCACCCTAACATGTATATACACATAGCCTTGAGGATCTCAGACCAATATTTAGTGAAGTTCTAGAATTTTCCACTCTAAAATCCATTTCCAGTTATAGCACTTTCATTTTAGTCATCTTATCCTCTGAGAGAAAATGCCAGTCCTCCTTGAACAAGGGCTCCCAGACAGCCATGGGTGACCATAGCTCCTCATTCATTTCTTAAGAAGCCTCTGAGGAGATCTATTTGGTTCAGAGTAGAAGAGACTGGTTTCATTCATTCACCCAACAACAACAAATTTCTACTAGGTTTGAGGTACTCTGGTAGGTACCTGGTGTTCCAAGATCAGGAAGACAGCAGTTCACCATAGAGTGCCATAACCTTTTTCTTTGTCTTTGTTCCAGGGGAGGGTTTCCACAACTACCATCACTCCTTCCCCTATGACTACTCCACCAGTGAGTACCGCTGGCACATCAACTTTACCACATTCTTCATCGATTGCATGGCTGCCCTTGGTCTGGCTTATGACCGGAAGAAAGTATCCAAGGCAGCCGTCTTGGCCAAGGTTAAAAGAACTGGAGATGGAAGCTACAAGAGCGGCTGAGTTTTGGGTCCTTAGGTTTCCTTTTCCAAAAGCCAGCCAGGCAGAGTTTTAATGTTCTGTTTATTAACTACTGAATAATGCTACCAGGATGCTAAAGATGATGATGTTAACCCATTCCAGTACAGTATTCTTTTAAAATTCAAAAGTATTGAAAGCCAACAACTCTGCCTTCATGATGCTAAGCTGATATTCTTTCATCTCTTCTCTTCCCTATCTTCTAGATCCATTGCCCCTTTCTTTGCTGTGTTCCTATCACCTTCCTTTCTCTTCTCCCTCATTGGTTCCCATACAAGCAGCTGGTAAGGCATTGGTGGGTGTCCAGCATCTGAAGTCTAGACAACCTTTCTGTCATCCAAAACTAGTGGTTTTGCCTCGGATAACTCTTTCCTTGAGCTGTCCTGAGCTTCAAGGTAGGTGGCTCAAGCTGGAGATTTGACAACATTGTCTGGGAAGACCCTTATTAATTATCTTCATTTCAGACTTTTCCTAGATGGAATGAAAAAACAACTTTATTTGTCACAAAGCTTCTAAAGCAGCAAAATTGTCAGGGAGATAGTTAGCATGCATGATATGATTGCTAAGTAAGAATGGGGTGAGGTGGAAAACAAAGCAAGAAGAAGCTCCTGATGTGACCAAACATACAGCTGCCTACCTAACAAGGACATCAAGCCACACCGCACAGCATGCCTCCTGTCTCTCCTGTCTCTGAGTAGGGAATGGCCATGGAGCTTAGCAGTGCTAGAAAACAAAAGCAAATCTGAGGTCGCAATAGACTCTAGACTGCGGATAAAGAAGCATTTAGTTTGTAGTACAGCTTATCTTTGAAGAAGAAAGATTTCTTTTCTTTAATAACAGGAAGATTTCTTATTTCATATATCAGGAATTCTTGAGGTTGGTTGTTTCCAGAATTGGTGAATCCAGCAGCTCTTGGAATCATCAAAATTATTCCATCTTTCTGCTCTGCTCTCTGACCCCTGGGATATTGGTCAGCTCCACTTATAGTAATAAGTTGGCTGCCGCATTTTCAGACATCCAAAAAAGGAATGCATCGGTGGCATAGTGGTGAGCATTCAAAAAAGGAAGGATTTTAGGAGGTAGGTCAAACATATATATATACTATACATACATACACACACACACACACACACACACACACAGATACTTTGCTTAGAATATTAAATAATTCAGTCAGAGTGTTTCCCTCTGAAAGAAGAATGCTTGAAGAAGAGGAGGAATTAGGTGGGTTGTACACTTTCTACCCATTGTTGGACAGGTTAAGATGGACAGGTTGAGGTACAGGGTCTGTAGGAAGTTACTGAGAGATAACTCGACAGAAGAAGGACTTTGAGAACACATTGTCTGGAATTGAGAAAGTTATTGGGTGTCCTAATACAAAAGCTGGTTATCCAAACAAATGAGTTGTTAGGTTTATTTATTGACTCCTATTTCTCCTTGGAATAAGTAAAAACTGGAAAGCTTCTCTCCACAATGTCAGACTATTTCACTCATTTTTGCTTTGTTAACAACTAACCCAGTGATTTTCAACCTTTTTTGTCTCATGGCACACATAAACTAATTACTAAATTCTACGGCACACCAAAAAATAGTTTTGCTGATTTAACAAAAAATAAAATAGGTATAATTTTGATTTGTTCACATCAGACAGCTATTGTTGTGTTGGCTGTTGTCATTTTTTTTTTATTTGACAATCGAAGGGAAAAGAGGTCAGTGCCCTGACTAAATAGTCAGGTATTGTGTGTTTTAAAAATGCTTGTGGCACACCAGTTGAAAATTGCGGATCTAGCTTAAAGTATAGGACTGCTTGGGGGCAAGTAGAAGTCTTTTAATTACCCTGATTATTGATTCCTGGCTCTACCCTATCTGTCCTCCTACTGGTTCTACCTATTCCCTGATGTTTTCTTTTCTGTCTGGACAGGCAGCCTCCTTTGTGTATTCAGAGGCTGTGATGGCTATTGCTGCCCAGGCGGACAGAATGCTCAGGGTCACTGAACCACTGTTTCTCTTTATAAAGTTGAGCTTGCTGCCACTTTCACTCGGTCTCCTGATTCTCTCCACCTAAACTCCTGTGATCCACTGCCACGCTGGTGACTCAAGACAAGGCTGGCAAACGCTTTTAGAAACATCCCTGGCTCGGGTGCTCTCTCATGAGGCACAGCCAGGTCAAATGCTTGCATCATGCCCGTGAGCCAGCCACAGAGCAAAAGAGAGTTTGTTTTCAGTCTCCTCTGTCTGGGTCAGAACCAGAGAACATACTGGATGCCCCCTGCTTGCTTATTTACCCTGCCCAGCTTTAGTCCATGCTCCCAGCTGACTGCAGTGCTGGTAGAAGTAGGAGGGAGCCTAGTCTTCACTGGGAAGCACAAGAAACAAAGGCAAGTTCCAAAGTGCCTCATTTGAAAGGAGGCCCTGTTTGTTCCCTAGAGCCAGGGTACACTGCAAACCTTTGCTGAGATTTGGGATTTGAGATGCCATAAACTTTGCTGAACAGCATCTCTGTTCAGCAAACTAACCATTTCCTACAGCACAGCCTAGGGTAGGTAATAGTGTGGAAGAGGTCTGAAAAGAAAAAGAAAAAATCGGTATTTTGAGAACCCTGGACCACTCCTGTCCCTGTACCTCAGTTGTCAATGCAGAAGCCTGGCTTTTCTCTACCAAGATTGGAAATGGACAATACCAAATGCTCTGTCCACTGTTGAACCCCAGTGGTGGAAGGGAGGAGGGCCTTTCTTCTTGTATTAACTGAATACATAGAGGCTACAGGGGTAACCCTGGTCTAACGGTATGTTTGTCTTTTGAGCTATTCCTCTCTGTAGAAAAGAATCTAATGGAAGATCACTGTAGTTTCAATCTGCTGACAAGTACACCTACCCCTTGGAAATGTCTGTTGGATAGTTTTAATTCCACAGGTCATCAGATGCCTGCTTTATAATTAATGATCAAAAACAACTTTATCTTTCTATTCTAATTGTGTTCCATGGATCTGGTCCACGCAATGACCCTACACAAGTCTGGACAGGGTCCTCAGGCTGAGGGCCCCAATGTATACGTGGATGTATGTGTTGGGGGCATGTCTACTGAGTAAGGAATACTTTTCAAGATTTTAAAGCTGAATTCAAATAATGCATTAATGATCCAGAAACTCAGATCTGATCAAGTCTGAATTTCTAACAGTCCTGCTTTGTGGGTGTGCTGACAACTTATTTGGGTGCCTTACATCTTTTCTAATCAGTGTTGCATATGAGCCTGCTCTCCCCCTCCTTGCTCCTCTGCGGAGTTCCTTTGCACCTGAGAGCCTGCAGGAGTGGCTGGTGGAAAAGGGCCTGGCTGGAGAATTTTCAGTACAGCTGTTTGCAGGATTCCCTTCTGGGCTTCATTTTGGAAATTTATCTTAGGTTTGTGTTTATTAAGTGCTCATCTTTGATGGAGGGTGGAAGTAATTTGAATGTATTTGATTTATAATTTTCTTTTTTTTTAGATTAAAGGATGGTTGTAGAATTTAAAATGGAAAGTTTTTCTCTTTGGTTTTCTAGTATCCTGAGTGTATTCTCTGTAAGTATAGCTCAAATGGGTCAGCATGAAAGGTTGAAGAAAGCAAGATGTCAATGTTACCTGGGTGGTTAAGGCCAAGGCCTCTCCTACCACTGTGCCACTGACTTGCTATGTGACCCTGGGCAAGTCACTTAACAATAATGTGCCTCAGTTTTCCTTCTGTTAAAATGGGAATAATACTGACCTACCTCAAAGGGCAGTTTTGAGGTGTGACTAATGCTTTTTATAAAGCATTTTGGGATCCTTCAGCAGAGAAATTCTCTTAAGTCCTGGGTATTTTTATAGTAGCAGTATCCACCATGAATTGTGTCCACCATGAATATGTGTTCCAGATGCTATCATTAATCTATATGGTTTTCTCTGAGAAATTGAATAAATCCATTGGATAAGTGGTGGATAACAAGCCAGACAAAATTTGAGAATGCATGAACTCATTGCCATGGAAACATACACAGGATACCTTTTCCTTGATTGGGTGGGATTTTTCCTTTTTTATGTGGGATAGTAGTTATTTGTGACCTAAGAATAATTTTGAAATAATTTCTATTAATAACTCTGAAGCTAGTTGTACTTATCTAAGATTGTGTTTGTTCATAATAAAAGTGAAGTGAATCTGATTGCACTGTGTCTGGAAGTTTTTTGGCTGTGATTCAAAGTCTCCTGGGACTTAGCTCAATGGTCCACCATAATATCTAGGTCCTGTTCCTGTTCCTCTTCCTGTACCTTTAAGAGTAAAAAGGAAGTAAGAGCTACAATGATTGACTCATACCCCAGTAACCTGCCCTGTCCTTCCTAAGGGTAACTTTAGGTTAAATTCAGACAGGAAACCAGGAGTCTGCTGCCATTAAGCCAAACATATTAGTACCAGCTGACACTTTGACCCTGGGGAAATGCCAGGTCTCTTGTGTGTCACATGGTCACATGGACCCAAGAGGAAGTTAGCAGCAGGAAAAACAGTGGGAAAGCAGTTTTTATCATGCAACCTAGGCTGGGCAGTCCTCGGAAATGCAGTCAGTCCTGGAATAAAGTGGCTTCCTGGAAATGCTGATTAACGACAGCAGGAAGAAAGGAAAACAATCCAAGGGAAGGTTTGTAAATTCATGGAATGCAGACGGCTTCATAATCATAAGTGGAAAAGGCTTTAGCTTTTACTACTTTTTCTGAGAATCCTCATGCGGAAAAAGAAAGGCAGACTTTTTACAATTGGAAGAAGCTCCATACTCCAACAGGAGTCACCTTGGCAATATCTAGGCTTCTAAGAATTTCCTAGAACCAACTCCCCTCTCTAATGTAAGGCTGCCCTCACCTTGAACAAGAAGCAAGATTCTCTCAGGTTAATTCAATGCATCCAAAATCAAGTCTATATTCATCGAGGTCTTGCCAGACCTCAGTAATTTCAGTTGATGGTGGCATTTTCTTCTTCGATGTCTGGTTTTCCACATCTTTCCCTGTTTTGCTTAAAATGTTCAAGCTGGGCCCGACAAGTGAGGCTCATGGTTGAGCTTTAACCCATGTACCAGGAGGTCACTGGTTTGGTGTCTGGTCAGGGCACATGCCCAGGTTGTGGGTCCAATGCCCAGTGTGGGGCATGCAGGAGTCGGCCAATGTTCTCTCTCATGGATGTTTCTATCTCTCCTTCTCCCTTCCTTACTCTCTCTCTAAAATCAATAAAGAAAAAAAAATGTTCAAGCTGGACTATTTTTTTTCAGTTCTATAATTACACTGTTCCTTCCAAGCCTGTTTTATTTCCTATTAACCTGTATCCACGTCAAATAATTAATCTTCACCAAGCTCTGCTACTTTTTTATTTCCTCCTTTCAATTTATACCTGGCTGTCCTCCCTCTGGTTAAACATACTTTTTTGTTTCCTTTAGATGTTCTGTATCTTATGTTTGTTATTTTAGCCTGGGGCTGTTTTTTTGTGTGTTTTTTTTTCTTTTTTTTCATCCTCACCTGAGGATATTTTTTCCATTTATCTTCAGACAGTGGGAAAGAGAGAGAGAGAAACGTTGAATTGTTGCCTCCCGAACGACCCCAACCAGGGCCAGGACCGAACCACAACTGAGGTACATGCCCTTGACTAGAATCAAACCTGTGACTCTTCGGTCTGCAGGCTGACGCGCTAACCACTGAGAAAACCGGCCATTGTTGTTTTGTTTTGTTTTTCTATCTGCAAAAGTTCCAAGAAGAAAGAGGAAAGGGAAGAACTCTTAGAATTTGACTAATATGTTCAGTTGAGTTCAAGATTTAGAGGGAAAGTGTCTGGCTGGTTTGGCTAGGAAGTTGCCACTAAGAAGTCGCCACTTTGATTCCCAGTCAGGGCATGGGTTGTGGGCTTAATACCCAGTGGGTGGCATTCAGGAGGTGGCCAATGGATGCTCTCTCTCATCGATGTTTCCATCTCTCCCTCTCCCTTCCTCTGTGTCTCTAATATATCAATAAAGAAAAAAAGAAATTTTAAGATTGAGAGGGAAAGGGAACTGAGTATAAGTTTACCTTCAAGGGTGAGTTATAAAATAGCCACTTGGGGCCAAGTAACAAACTCTCATTTTGACAATTTTTTTTTTTTTTATCCTTACCCGAGGATATTTTCCCATTGATTTTAAGATAGAGTGGAAGGGAGGTAGGGAGAGAGAGAGAGAGAAGCATCAATGTTAGAAAGACACATCAATTGGTTGCCTCCCGCAGGACCCCAACCAGGGCCAGGGATTGAACCTGCAACACAGGTACATGCGCTGGATTGGAATCAAACCCGACACTTCAGTCCACAGGCCGACACTAACCACTGAGCAAAACAAGCCCAGGCAACATGTTTTACGTAGGAATATAAAGAGGTTAACAGTCTATTTAAAAATCAAGATTTAACCATGGCACAGAGGATAAAAAGTAATTTAAGAAAATAAAAAGAGCCCTGGCTGGTTTGGCTCAGCGGTTAGAGCTTTGGCCTGTGGTCTGGAGAGACCTGGGTTTGGTTCCCACTAAGGGCACATACCTCAGTTGCAGTTTGTCCCC